CATAATACCCTCCAGTTGTATCCACGTTGAAGCAAATGGTGGGTATTTGTCGTTTCTAATGGCTGAGTAATATTAATATTCCATGTATATATAGACCACATCTTCTTTATCCATTCATCTTTCAATGGACACCGAGGTTCCTTCCACAGTTTGGCTATTGTGGACATTGCTGCTAGAAACATCAGGGTGCAGGTGTCCCGGCGTTTCACTGCATCTGTGTCTTTGGGGTAAATCCCCAGCAGTGCAATTGCTGGGTCGTAGGGCAGGTCTATTTTTAACTCTTTGAGGAACCTCCACACGGTTTTCCAGAGTGGCTGCACCAGTTCACATTTCCACCAACAGTGCAAGAGGGTTCCCCTTTCTCCACATCCTCTCCAACATCTGTTGTTACCTGTCTTGTTAATTTTAGCCATTCCACTGGTGTGAGGTGGTATCTCACTGTGGTTTTGATTTGTATTTCCCTGATGGCAAGTGATGCGGAGCATTTTTTCATGTGTTTGTTGGCCATGTGTATATGCCTTCTTTGGTGAAATTTCTGTTCATGTCTTTTGCCCATTTCATGATTGGATTGTTTGTTTCTTTGCTGTTGAGTTTTAAAAATTCTTTATAGATCTTCGATACTAGCCCTTTATCTGATATGTCATTTGCAAATATCTTCTCCCATTCTGTAGGTTGTCTTTTAGTTTTGTTGACTGTTTCTTTTGCTGTGCAAAAGCTTCTTATCTTGATGAAGTCCCAATAGTTCATTTTTGCTTTTGTTTCTCTTGCCTTCATAGATGTATCTTGCAAGAAGTTGCTGTGGCCAAGTTCAAAAAAGGTGTTGCCTGTGTTCTCCTCTAGGATTTTGATGGAATCTTGTCTCACATTTAGATCTTTCATCCATTTTGAGTTTATCTTTGTGTCTGGTGTAAGAGAGTGGTCTTATTGGAGTTCGATTAGAAGAGAAGTTTATTCTTCTGCACATGGCTGTCCAATTTTCCCAGCACCATTTACTGAAGAGACTGTCCTTTTTCCAGTGGATAGTCTTTCCTGCTTTGTCAAATATTAGTTGACCATAGAGTTGAGGGCCCATTTCTGGGTTCTCTATTCTGTTCCACTGATCTATGTGTCTGTTTTTGGGCCAGTACCACACTGTCTTGATGATCACAACTTTGTAGTACAACTCGAAATCTGGCATTGTGATGCCCCCAGATCTGGTTTTCTTTTTCAATAGCCCCCTGACTATTCGGGGTCTTTTCTGATTCCACACAAATCTTAAGATTATTTGTTCCAACTCTCTGAAGAAAGTCCATGGTAATTTGACAGGAATTGCATTGAACGTCTAAATTGCCCTGGGTAGCATAGACATTTTCACAATACTAATTCTTCCAATCCATGAGCATGGAATATTTTTCCATATCTTTGTGTCTTCCTCAATTGCTTCCAGAAGTGTTCTGTAGTTTTTAGGATATAGATCTTTTACCTCTTTGGTTAGGTTTATTCCTAGGTATCTTATGCTTTTGGGTGCAATTGTAAACAGGATTGACTCCTTAATTTCTCTTTCTTGAGTCTCATTGTTAGTATATAGAAATGCCACTGGTTTCTGGGCATTGATTTTGTATCCTGCCACACTGCCGAATTGCTGTATGAGTTCTAGCATTCTTAGGGAGGAGTCTTTTGGGTTTTCTATGTACAGTATCATGTCATCTGCAAAGAGGGAGAGTTTGACTTCTTCTTTGACAATTTGAATGCCTTTTATTTCTATTTGTTGCCTGTTTGCTGAGGCTAGGACTTCTAGTACTATGTTGAATAGCGGTGGTGAGAGTGGACATCCCTGTCATGTTTCTGATCTTAGGGGAAAGGCTCAGTGTTTCCCCATTGGGAATAATATTTGCTCACACAGCACTATCTCTTCTAGTTGTAAGTCCAGGGACGTGACTCTACCTGCTTGTATAGAAAAAAAAAAAAAAAAAGACGACAAGTTGGTATTTGCCATCAGAATGAGTAGTTGATATGAATCCGTGTCCTCAGACTCAGGTGAGAACTAAATGTAACTTGATTTAGATTTTCTTTATAGCAACTCTGAGCCCCCGGGGCATTTTATTTTTGTCATTGTTAGGCTCTCCTCTCCTTCCCAGGGCTGCATCAGATTCAGGAAGGCTTATACAGTGTCTAGAAAGGCAAGGGTCATTAGCTGTGGGGTCTGTCATGGTCTTACCAACACCCCACCACCGAGGCCCCCAGTGGTTTCTGACACCCAGCAGTTCTCAGCTGCTCCTATGCCCTCTGGAGGCATGGGGATCTTTGTGGAAGTTGTGAGCCCCAGGCCTGCAGTTTCTCCTCCCTAAACACACCACCACTCTTCCTCCTGGGGATTTCTCTGCCTCCTCAGGGTGGAATCAGGGAGCCACCCTTCCCTGGGACCTCAGGACCTATCCCTGCCTCCAGACCAGGAGAAACTCTTCCTCATATGAATGAGACTTCACATCTCACCGTGACCCATTTCTTAAATACATTCTGCTCCTTTCTTTAAATTCTATCTTCCTTTTAGGAATCAGGCTTTCAGAAAAGAAAAGCCAGGAAGTTTGGCAGGCTAGGTCTGGCTTCTGCCACACTAAGGCAAAGAGGCAAAGAGGCATGGAGAGAAAAAGGCAAGATACAGAAACGGAGAAGGAAGGAAACCCTCAATTACAGCCGCCAGGCATTTGTTAATAATGTGGATGATAGCACTAAATGCAGCGCTGCCCTCGCCAAGAGACTCTAGCCTTTTCCTCAAGAAATGGAGGGGACATTGTACAAAGAGAAGGAAATGTGGGATCCTCAACTTCCTGCGTTTGTGCAAGGGAATTGGGGGTGGTGGGACTGAAGGTTTATTTTCAAGGCTTCACTGATTCATCCTTTACAGGTTATCCTTAAGACCATTTTCATTTGTTGGGAAAGGTACACCAATTCTGTATTTTCTTTTGCTTCTCGTAAATCATTCGTCAATGAGTAAAAATCATGAAACCCCAAGGAGGCTGTCTTAACTGCGCTCTGCGAGAGGGATAAGCAGAGTTTGCCTGTGGAATCAGCTTTGTGATCCAGTGACATTAGTTGAGTCAGTCATAGGCCAAGGAGGCTGAACCCGTGGCCCTCAGCTGAAGAAAACACAATCTGTAAAACCTCACGCTTGCAAAACATTGATGTGGCAGATGGTTTTAAAGCAAAAGCTGTATCCCCTTCACAAGTAGATGTGCCAGCGATTCCTTTAAGTATCAAGATGTCCTTGAATTTTTTTAAAAAAAATATGATGCAATTTAGAATCATGGGTTCATGTAGCTTCTCAAAAGCCTATCTGTTTCGTAAAGATGCGTGCATCCATGCTCCGTGAAATGAATGGTAAGCCAGAGAAAACAGGAGATTTCACCAGTGGGAACAAAAGACTCGCTGCCAGATTCGAATAGTTGTTTCACATGTTTGGGAGAGTTGCACAATACTCAAATGACTCAGCTCGTCCACAAACACAGTTAGAGGTGGACTGAGCCATGAGACGAGACCCGCAAAACAGGTTTTGATGGCACAGTGGTGCATGGGTTGGTTACACTAAGTATAGCCCTCCTCAGCTTCCAGGAATGAAAAGTAAACAAGGACTCGTACGTGTCCCCCCAACAGAATCCTCTTTCTCCTTTCGAATAGTTACTATTCTGTGGCCATTTTTGAAATTTTATTTCCCCAGGTCTTTTGGTTTGCAAATATTTGGTTCTGTATATTTAAGCAGTGACTCTGACAAGGCTGATCCTAATCTAGGGTACCAAGGAAATGGAGAAAATGTACCAAATATAAATAACTGCTTTCCTGGGTAAAGTGATATAAAACTAGGCATTTTAGAAGGCTCTGCCCATATTAAAATGAGGGAGAAAAATGTCTCTAGGCATGAGAGGAACTATAAAAGTGGTATATTTTGTGCTGGAACAACATGATGTTAGCTTCTTGTGTTCCACACCAGGCTTTGGAGGTAAAGCTCAGCTGTTGACCACAGTTATGTTTTCCTGTAAAAGGCTACTGCTCACTAAGTCCTATGTAATTAGAAACTCACAGAGGAAGGAAATGTCATTAGAACACCCAGGGAAAGGTTTGTTAAAGGATACACAGTTTGTGCATTTGAGTTTTGCTTTTCATCATAAGCTTTGACAGCTTCATTGGATCTAAATATCCAACGTATTGAATGTACAAAGGTCGCAAGACCACAGAAAGAAATGACCAGAATTCTTCTAGATCCCTACTATCAGATTTTATTTAGACTCTACTTTTCCTTATTCCTTTCATTTGCATGAGTGGTAGGTATGAGGTGTTAGACTTCTCTACTTACAAATATGTTTCTTTTGCATGATCATTGTAGTAAACAATATTGATAAAGGTGGGAAAGTTCGAGTTACGCCTAAAATGTTAACCACGGATCCATTGCTCTAGGATATTTTAAGAAAGATACTTCTCCTGTACCTTTTAAGAAAAAAAAGCGAGAATATTTGAAGCATATGTATCTTTGTTCAGCTTTTTAAAATCAAATTTCACCTGTTCTAACAGAGCACACAGAGGATGGATCATTCAGTAGCCAACTGTGGTTAATTTTGCCCACAAGAATGCCTAAAGTTGTCTCCCTGAACTTGCCACCTAATACTTGCACTCCAGATGTCCATTCTTGTGTTACTGTGCACGCCTTAAATTGAGCTGGGAGATTTATAATTACCTGAGTCTTCCATGAAAGAAAAATGCCAGAAGTTACCTACACCACCCACTATAGGATTGTTCTTGGCATGGTGACTGAGGCGTGGTGAATTTGTGCGTGGCAGTATGAGTTGTCCTGTCTTAAGTGGCAGTAATGCTAGGGGGTACTTTTCTTCTTGAAGTTATATTATTAACTCCTTGAATTAACCATATCTTGGTTTTGAATCATAACCATGGGAAATGCCCACACCCACCTCGCCTTAACATATGTAAATTCCATTTCTCCCAAGACTCTCAGCTATGAGAGAATGCAGCCGTCAGTATTATGAAAGTAGTTCAGCTGAAATGTTTGCCTTCCTGTGCTCAGTCACTTGAGCAGTCCAAGTGACACCTTTGACAAGACAGAACAAGAAATTTATTCCTTCAATATGGAGCATTTTGCAAGGGAAGCTGAGTTTTGGAGCAGGCTAATGGTGAGTTGAATGAAGTGTTTAAATACCAAGGGCATCATACTGGGCATTTTCCTTGTAGCTTTTCATAAAATTAAGATGAAAGAGGAATTTATAATCAAAGGATTATAGTCTTGTTCATTGTTTTAAAGTGAAACATGCCTTCTATATACCAAACGCCATTAGCGATAAATGACTCTGGATGAATTGTTTGGGTATAAATTTTTCTAACTTTATTGATGAACCATACAGAACAGCTTGTGGGCATACAAGCCATGATCTTACTAAAGCAATATGACTCGCTGGCAAAAAGGAACTGTAAAGTCAAGCTAGGTTTTTAACACAAATGAAGAATTTCTTGGAACTCTGTATTGGATTGTTTCTTTTGATTTTCTTTCAATGTACCTCTTCTAAGATTTCATACATACCCATGTATGTGAATATGTATACAATAATTATACTATAGATTATGATCAGAAAAGCATGATAAACGAACATACCCATTTCTAAAACTAATTTTTATGATTTTTGAACTGGACATATTAAGACTTGCTATTTCCTTTAATGTCACGAAGAACTACTGAGTTCAATTCCATATGAATTGGTCAAGTCCTGAAAGTCTCACAGAATGGCCCAGATTCCCTGGCCTCAGTAACCCTGACTGGTCATCCATTTTAAAGTTGAATAAACTGGGCAGCCCCGGTAGCACAGCAGTTTAGCGCTGCCTGCAGCCCAAGGTGTAATCCTGGAGACCCGGGATCGAGTCCCATGTCAGGCTCCCTGCATGGAGCCTGCTTCTCCCTCTGCCTGTGTCTCTGCCTCATGAATAAACAAATAAAATCTTTAAAAATAAATAAAGTTGAATAAACTGAAGTTCCTCTACTTGAACAACTCTACATTGGGCTACAAGATCAGAGGCTTCACCCCAGCCCAGGGCTTTTTTTTCAGTTAGTATATCTCCCACCCTACAGTATACATTTTCATTTTGTTTTCTCCTTTTAATGTGAATTTGAACTTCACTGGAAATATAAGATGCTGTCACAACCATAGGTGATTTTTATATTAGATGGTATAACAAATTCTCCTCTGGTAGCAACAATGTGACCCATCTGTCTTTTCTGTAGGAATATGACCTATGTTTACCTTCTTTTATGTCATAAAGTTGACTTTAAGAGCAAATCAGTTAAAACATTGGATTCTAAAGTAATCATCTATTTATTAAAGAGTGTTCATCATCCCTAATGTCTTGGCTTTTAATGTTATATCTAAGATGGCAAGTCATACTGTATACTTTGGAAGAAAGGAGTGTAAAAAATCCTGTATTATTCCCAAGCCTAACTAAAAAAAAAAAAAAAAAAAGCTAACAAACAAAAACAACAACAACAAAAAAAAAACCCCACAATTTTCAGATGGGTATTCAAGCTCTTCAGACATCGATCTTTGTTTATCCAAGTCATTCATTCATTTACTTAGCTAAAATATCCCTGACATTGAGCCATTTCTATGCTCTCGTAATATTTAGATTTTTAAAATTCCTTTGTTTTTATGAGAAGATCATTTCTGACAAACTAAGGAAAAATGAAAGGAGTTTTTTCCTGCATACCCTCTGGCCAAAAAGGAACATCTGTGCTCCTAGGAGCTGAGAGCTGAGGTAGCACAGGTCTGATTGGCTCCAGGGTCCTAAGGGCCCACAGGGCCCAGCCAGAAGTTCAGAAAATACATGAAGAGATGAGATGAAGGCATTGGTCCTCACCACTCAGACATCCCCAGCCCCCTGCCTGAGTAGACTCCCAGTCACATGAGAGAATGTCAGAATTTTAAGGTCAACAGATATCATGCAAACTCAAGCTAGCTTTTTGTTCTGTTAAACCTTAATCACCCAAACTGCGATTTTGAAAATTCTCTCCACATTTGGAATTTCTTTAGTCCCTGGCTCTGTCTCTGCCACTTCATGTTGTCACCAATTCCCTTAGCAGGCCACTACCACCAGATCAGTGGCCTCAGAGACTGCCACAGGTGGCTGGCAGCATCTCAGCGATCTCTCATCAGCTCCTTCCAGCCTGTGTAGTGGAGAAAACATGCAGAGGCAGGCGCCCAGGACGGGAGGAACTGAAATTCATTGCAATCCTTAGCTGTTCCAGATATGGAATGAATTGAAGGAAATGGAGTTTTGAAAGCCTGGTTTATTTTCAGGGTCTTTCTATCACAATTAACACACCCCACCTCTCTCGTGGTCAGCAAGTTATTATCTTACAGATGCATAGATGGTGAGATATAGAGATTTAATGATGGGCTTGGTGCTTTCTGGTTAGTGAGCAGGGTGGAAGTGAGAAATGTAAGCCTCTGCCATCAGAAGCTGGTGACTTCATACATAATGTCAGACATACTGTCTCTGCCTTCTCTGCCAGATAGAGGACCAGAATAGTTCCTCTACCCATAGTTTGCTGGTTATTCTTTGTTCTGAGTGCATTTGAGTTCTTGCACATCTTCCTTCTTGCAGATTGCTTGTGTGGCTTAGAAGTTCACTTCTGTGCTGGACGTCACTGGATAATGCTTCTCTCAAAGAGGAGAATAGTGGTCCCTGGAAGTTCAAATTCAGGATTGCCTCCAAGTGCAGCTTCAAATCCCCAAGGATCTGTGCTGTTCAAGGACAGCTGATTGATCAAGTCCCTTCCCTTCACATAACCTAGCACGACAGTTACACAGGCTAATTTCAACAAGGATGGACTAAATACAAGGATGGACTTGGCAGTGGATACAGTGTATGGTGGGCAGCATGATTTGGGGAAAGTGGACAGTGGTAACTGGCTATGTAGGCCTGAGGGATTATCACCACCCAAGAGAGCCAAACCATCTTTTTTTTTTTTAAGCCTAAAACCCTCATTTGCCCCCATCCTCTTTCTCCACGTGAGCTCATCTGAACAAAGCATCAAGAGCTCACTGAGTTCAGCCTCTGTTGTTTCTTGAAGAGAACACGGAGGGAGAAGACACGCTCTTGACTCGTGAGGGTCAAAATATAATTAAGAGACAAGGCATGCATACATGAAACAATCAGAGAACAAAATAACATGTGATTGAGTGGCAGGGTGCATGGTTCAGACATTAAATGGAATAATGCTTCTGAAGTGAGGGTGGCCAAAGAAGGCTTCATTAGAGAAATAGATCAAGAAGGACGGGTTGGATCTGAAAAGGAGAGGGATGCGCATCTGGGTGAAGGGGATAGTTTTGAGTAAATGCCAGCAGAAACAGCCCTGGTGGTGAAACAGTACTGAGTGTTTGAACAGAAAATTCAAGTGAGGGACCGAGGAGAGAGAAAGTTAAGCAGATCTTGGAGAGGCTTGAAGGCCAAGCAGAGGAGTTTAGATGTGGTAGGAAATGGGAGCCAGAGAAGGTGTTGGAATAGTGAAACAGCATGATAAAAGCAGTGTGTGAGGAAAATTATTGTATCCAGGTACATTGGATTCTGAAGACTCTGGAGGCCAGTTAGGAAGCTATTGTTACAGGACCGAAACAGGAGATGACAGTGGTCCCAGATTAGAGTGGTACCACCAGAATAGGGAGAAAGAAGCATATTTCTAAGGGAAACTATGAAACACTCGTTGGTCGTGAAAGACTCCTAACTCTGGGAAACGAACTAGGGGTGCTGGAAGGGGAGGTGGGCAGGGGGTGGGGGTGACTGGGTGACGGGCACTGAGGTGGGCACTTGACAGGATGAGCACTGAGTGTTATTCAATATGTTGGCAAATTGAACACCAATAAAAAATAAATTATAAAAATAAAAAAATTTAAAAAAAGAAACACTCGTTAGTGAATGGGATCCTGTACAGTGCAAACTATACAAAGTTAGCAAATTGTGGCTATTTTGTGTAAGTGACTGTCTTTGCGGAGAATAGAAGTCTGATTCTTCTCCTTAGACCTATCCGAAAGCCAGCCAACCATTCTCATACCTCCTTCCCTATTCCTTGAGTTAACCAAACCTCTAGAAAATTCCCCAAACCCCAGTACCCATCCGAACAGTTCAGGCCCAAGCTTTTCTGCCAGGGAACACTCCTGCCACTTAGAACACTTTCCTCCTTCAAAGCTACCCCCTCTCTTATAGCTGGGCTCCTGAATCGAGGTGCGTTTTCTCAGTTCTCCTTCCTAGCTGTTGTTGTTCATGAAACACCTTTCTTCTCTCTCCCTCGCTGTCTTAGTTTTATTTCTAGTTAGTTTAGTCCTCTCATCTGTCTGCTTTCTGGCTTATTCATGTCAATTTGCCCAGTGACATCTGGTTCCTTGGTGGTGTACTTCAGTGTTAGATGACTGACTGTGTCATAAAGTCTCTCCTACCTACAGGGAAGAGGGGTACACAGTTCACCTGATAGTTTGAAAGGGAAAACAAGTCAGAAAGATGAAGAAAATCAAGGGGTTGCGTGTTTTGACAGACAAATCCCAGATAGATTTTGAGGGAAATTTTGTAGGGGTTTTGGTTTTTTTGAAGATTTTATTTATTTACTTGATAGAGAGAGAGAGAGAGAGAGAGTATGAGCAGGGGAAGCAGCAGGCAGCGGGAGAGGGAGAAGTAGACTCCCCACTCAGCAGGGAACCCAATGTAGGTCTCCATCCCAAGACCCTGGGATCATGACCTGCCGAAGGCTGATACTTAACCAACTGAGCCACCCAGACGTCCCTCAAGGGAAATTTTGAATCATAGAAGATGAAGAATTTTAAGAAATCATGCATGTGTTCTATTTGACCTGCAGAGTATTTTTAAATAAATTTTTTCCTTTTAATCTTTGGGCCAATATTTAAAATTCAAAAGACTTGACATACCGATCCAGAAACATATTTCCTTGAACAAAGAATCAGAAGATGTGTCAGTAATCAGCTGGAGCTGAGTATCGCTATCCCCTGTAGATGCAGCAAGCATGCATTCTCTTCCTCGGCTACATTTTTGCAGACTTATCAGGACCTGTGGACATTTGAGTTTTGATTTTGGGACCAGACTGATTTATTTTATAAAAAAGAGAAACTGAGGCACAGAG